GAAGATGTTAAGGGGGGCACCGAAATATTTTCTGGCATTAAAGGGGGGGGGCTCTGAAAGTTCTCAATATACTGAAGGGGGGCTATAAACGTTTCAAAGTTTTGGTCCAGCATGGTTTGGAAACTCATTAGGCTATGTTAGTGCACGTGAACAAGAACATTCATAAACCTGGTCTTTTACCGTCACATACGTATTGTATTTTTGTTGAGGAGACGCATGTGCTTGAGTATACGTCACCAATGGGAACACGAATACACATCCGGGACTTCAATTTGCCCCCAAATAGTCGCGTTCCCTTTTTTTCACTGAATTAAGATTACAATGCCTCCTCTAGTGTTATTTATAATCACTATGGTCGTGATTACATTTGCTGGTTCGCGCCTGCTCATGAAAAATCTCGGACATAATTTTGGCTACACTCGTGAAATTATGAGTCTGAAGTTTAACAGGATTGAACAATGTTGTGCCGCCCACATTGTTCACAGTTGCCAACAATATTGAAGAATATTGTTGAGCCTGAATCGTTTTGTACCAATATTGTTCAACATTGTTGACAAATGTGAACAATGTGGGCCACACAACATTGTTCAATCCTGCTTTCATCAATATTGCAACAACGTGATCGTTCCTAGCTGTGTAAGTGGACCTTCTTGTTTACTTTATTTTCTGTGGTTTTATTACTCGCAATGTTTGCTGACCCGTTTTCGTTTGAATCGTCCCGCGTGGAATTTGCCCGCATGCACGTATTTCGCGAAAATTTCGCGACGTTTATTTAAAATAGATCTACAATTATAACTACGAAGTATTTGCAACTATTTCCGCCGGCTATATCTAAAAAGTAAACTATAACAATAGTAACGAGGCATGTGAGTTATCTAAAGTTGTGAATTGGGTAGCAACGATGTTAACAACGTTAGCCAATTAATGTGTCTTTTTCGACCTGCGATGCTACTCAAAAGCTATGACTTTGTTGCAGTCAATAAATTACTTTAATAAAATTATCAAAACAAATCAACAGCCATGAAGGAGCTTAATTTCAGTAGCGGCGCCATGCCTCAGAATTTGGGGGGGGGGGTCATTTGAGGGGGAAACTCACATTTTGGGGGGGGGCAAGATAGAATTTTTAAAAAGGTACTGCTATTTGCCCATGCCGTTGTGTCATGACTTTCGCCCCCCCCACCAACCCTAGGAATATCGCTCCCCCAGGGGGAGAATACCCTAGGAGTTTCACCCGCCTTTAGGATATTCTCCCCCATATATGGGACGTGGTTTATTCAAATAATTTCGTGATACGAAACTAAAGCTTTTTATCTTTAAATTTTTTAAACGTTATTATTGGAGTATTTGAAAGTAAATCTTTACAAACTAATATTGAAACTGTAAAAAACAGTTCCATGTATAAGCGCATTCACTAATGAGTTTTAGTATAATTATATAGGTGATTATTGAAAATTCTTTAATTCTCCACGCTGATTGGTTGCCGTTGAGGTGATTATTACGCGATAATCACCTAAGCGATTTTCAAAATGGCGGCCGAAGCCGTTTTTTCAATTAAAAGACGAAGAAATGTGCATTTTTAATTTTTTTTTCCAAATAATCACCTATGAAATTATACCAAAACAATTATTCACCTCAGGCTCGGTGATTATCGTGAATAAAAACCTCGACTTCGTCTCGGTTTTTATTCACCGATAATCACCTCGCCTTCGGCGAATAATTGTTAGATAACAACTTATAAGCCATACATTTTCCGATAACGACAAAACGCTTGTGTAGCCTTCGGGCGCTCTCAGGGACTTATATTTTTTTTTGAAGGGGGGAAAAATGGGGGAGGGAGGCAGAAAATAATTTGTGGGGGGGGGGTCATTTGCCCCCCTTGGCACCGCCACTGACTTCAAAGAGAATCCTACCGATTTATATAAACTTTAAGTTCATTTTTCTCACAACATATCAATCAGAATCAAATTTACCATTGTTTTTACACATTTTTGAGAAATATTTGAAAAAGCCAAGTTTAAGATACGAGGAACATTAAACACTTTTTCCTTTATACTGCAGACTGACTGGCTAGTGCGATTTCTATACATACCTAAGAGACTAGTACCATAGACTTCGACTTCGCACAACGTTAGTGCTTGTTTTTCTCCTGGAATAACAATCGTGACATAACGACCAACCACCGTCGGTTTACACGAGACTGTACCCTCCTATGTAAAGAAAAGTTATCTATTATCGCGAGTATTATAAAATACAGCAACTTATATATACGCTTTTGAAAACAAATATATAAGAAACCGAATTAATACGATACCATGTAGCAATCTAACTTCAAACGTTTTACTGAGATTTTTAACAAAATTGCCGGGCGAGCGTATGGAAATCCTAAGCCTAACTGTTTGTTCAATTACCTCATTAGAAGGGATATCTTGTCGAGTTCCACATCTCAAGTTCGTAGTTCCATTATTTTTCAAACTATCTCCAATTCTTATCTCGAAGCCACAAAGTCGCTTGCCAAATTTGCCTCTATTTACGATTTTCACGTGACTGACTGCAATACGTTGTTGTAAATCCACTCGCCACCAAGGTGTTGTTTCTTCATCTGTGTGAGTACACGACCCACTGCTGTAGTCTCGGTTTTTGTTTCCATCTACAGCTCTTGAAGCAACGCCTCCGTTTGTGGTTTTTGATTGTTGTGCAGGTTTCTTAAATGCAAAGTTTTCCCCTATACAAATTGAACATAACCTTGCATAAATATAAAAACCGCGTGTTTTCACATTTCAAACAAAACACGTCCTAGACAATTTTGCCTAATTTTTGTTTATACCCAATTCACAACTCACATGCCTCAGAAGGATAGATCAGGTAATTAAAGGCCATGTTACACAAGGCAATTGTTGCAACCTCCTTGCAATTCAATTTGATCCATATATAGTATAGCGATATAACATATATAGATCGTCCTTTCTAGACGATCATCAGGCGATTTAATAAGCTCTGCTATATTTTTTTTTTTCTCGGTTGCTAACTGCAACCTTCATCAGAGTACTAAGAGCAGTTCGGATAGTTCAAGGTTTTTAAATATCGTCATTATTGCCACATGATTGCACAAGCGATAAATACATGCGTGGGAATTCTTTGTGTTCGTTAATTGTTTTATTGTCTAATATTGAATGCATCGACTCGAGGAACGTTCGTTCTTCTAAATTATGTACTCTTTTCTCTAAGATTGTAGCATTGTTAATAGAGGCATTGTGTTCTGTGCTTTCTGCGTGGTCTTTGATTGCTGACTTAATCTCCGGTCTTACGCCTGGTTTGTGTTCTGCCCAACGTGATTTCCACGACCTCTTACTTTCTCCAACATACTTAAATGAGCAATCTGGACATTCGAATTTATAAACAATGCCTTTAATCTCCGTGATCTTCTGCCTGTCTTTTGGTTGACCAAAAATGTCCCAGCACTTAATACCAGCACTTTTAAGCAGCTGTTTTATCTGTTCTGATATGCCTTTCATGTATGGAATACAAGATAACCCTTTAATTTCCGGTTCGTCATTAGTGTTGGAAAACGACCTGCTGGAACTTGTCTGGAAGATGAATTTCTCTGGATATCCGTTGAGCTTTAATTCTTGGACAACACACTCCTTTTCTTGCTGTTTTTTATTGTCAGTAGAAGGAATGCTGTCGGCTCGATCAAGTAAGGTCTTAACTACGGCTCGCTTACTTTGGGTGGGATTATGAAAGTGAAAGGATAGATATTTATTGGTATGTGTGTCCTTACGGTATACACTTACTTCAATGGTACGGTTTTTAAGAATTGTAATGTGGGTATCAAGGAAAGAAATTGCTTCACCGTGGTTTGATTCTGATGGCAATTCAATTGTAAACTGAATGTTTCTGTTGATAGTGTTCAGGTGGGTGTGGAATTGTTCAATGTCACTTTTGCGTAGACATGAATTGGAGTCGTCAACATACCTTCGCCACCAGCGTAGTGGGACAGGTGACGTGTTGATGGCAATTGACTCTATCTCTTGCATTACTATCTCAGCTATGACTGCACTAACAGGTGATCCCATGGCGCATCCTGACTTCTGATGATAGTGTGTCTCATTGAATTTAAAGTAACAATTGTTAAGTAGGAATTTTAATAGTTTCACAACTTGTTCTTCTTTCAGTGCTGTATGTGACTTCCATGAATCAGTTTCTTTAAGTTTCTTTTGTACAATATGCAAGGCAAACGGAACAGGTATGGATGTGAATAAGGACACAACATCAAAAGAGACGATAGTTTCATCCGTCCCTAACGTTTGACTTTTGGCAAAATCAGCGAATTCTTTCCCATTACTTATAGAAAACTCGTTTTTTGCGCAAAAGGTCTTTAACAATTTTGCAAGGTATTTTGATAGGGAATATGTAGGTGAACCAATGTTGCTGTTAATTGGACGTAAAGGAATGACGTCCACAGAACTTTCGCCCAGGGTATAGTGGTCTTGGTTGCAGATGAGAGACACTTTATGGACTTTTGGCAAACCATAAAATGTAGCAGGGGAAGAATCAAAAGCTCGTAGCTGCCAATATTCTCTATCAGTTATGTTTCCCGAGCGTCGAAGCTCTTTCAGTATATTCTCTAAGTCAGTTTCCGTCCGTTTGGTGGGATTTCTTCTCTTATCGGTGATGCGTGTATAAACTGTTTGATCTCCAAGCATCTCGTTTACTTGTTCAGTATATTTTGCCTTATCCATTATAACCACAGCATTTCCTTTGTCAGCTTTTGTTATGATAATCGTGTCCTCTGACTTCAAGTCTTTAACTGCTTTCCTTTCGCCCCGAGTTAAAATGTTTCAAAATTGAGAAGACGCCAGCTCGTATGTCGTTTTTTGCTTCTTCTGTAAGATCCTTGATACCTTGTTCAACCGACGCTAGTATTTCTTTCTTTGGTACACGTCTCGGAGTTCCGACAAAATTTAATAATAATAATAATAATAGCTTTAATTTGAGCAAATCGTAGTCAAAGACTAAATTAAATTTACCCATTACAATGTTGCGTTAGAAACGTAAAAGGGGAAACAACTACAAACATCAAAACTAAGAATACTGTACCGTATAGTATATACTGAATTATTTACACTAAATTCTAAAAAGTCATCATTTTAAAAATATGTAGGGCTATACATTCCCTATGTTCTTCCTAATCGTATTTCACAGCAGATTTGACAATAAAATTGTTTCGAGATCTATTAGTTTTATATGTTGGCAACTGGAATTGTATTCCAGAGGCCTGGGACCTGGTATTATAATGAGTTTGGTAAGGGTGTTGTTGGTTTCGTACTTGTGACAAAGATATTTGTTCTAATCGTCTTGCTCGAAGCAACGTATCAACGCTGAAGGTTTCTTTTATACATTTATATATGCTGTTGGGGCGACCAGTGGAATACATGATAGTTTTGGAGTTGAAGCTGGTCTAAAATTCTTTTTAAAATACTAGAATATGTACAATAAAAAGTCTAAAAAAGTTCTAAATTTTCGGTTGCTAACTGCAACCTTCATCAGAGTATATATATATATATATATATATATATATATATATATATATATATATATATATATATATATATATATATATATATATATATATAGATAGATATATAGATATATATAATCATGCAGGAGCGGCAAACGTATCTGTGGGAACAAGCAAATATGGCATAATTTTTACTTACTAATTTTTGTCGCCATATTCTTCAATTTCCAAGGATGCTGTAATAACAACGATAACTGCTGGTAATCCTTGAAAGTGAAGAAACAAAAAAGGCAGTATATGAGTAATTAATTACATCTATGTGCATGACAATTAACACTTAAGCCTGGTTTTCATATGGTCGTAACTGTCGCGAACGTGTTATAACTGTCGCCAGCATGGGCGTACCGGGCGGGGGGGGGGGGGGGCTGGGCACACAGTTCACGAGAGTTACAACTTACAGTGTCTGTCGAGATAGGCTCGAGTAAAAACGTGACGGTTATGTTTTAATGGAAGCAGAAAAACGACTGCGTGGCAACAGTTTTGCGAAAATCAGGGGGGAGCAAATGTTCCCTTTGGGGGGACCGCGTTTGTCTTTTTAAAACTGTCGTCAGCTGCTTGTACGGTCCCTGGGTACGAAATTAACTTGCGACAGCCGACAGTGTCACGACAGTTACAACCATTAAAGGAAACAAGCGTAAATTAAAATAATTTACGACAAACATTTCACGACACGTTCGCGAAAGTTACAACAATATGAAAACCAGGCTGTACGTGTCCACACAATTAACACTTGAGGGTCCATAAAACATATTGTTTCCCGAAAGTCCGAAACAAAAAACACAGAAAACTTCCATGATTTTTGCTTCATAACTCAAAAATTTTATTATTCACTGGTGAATAAAAGTTAAAATATCCACCGCTCACAGCTGTTAATTTCCAGGAGACAGGCGAATTTCGTGGCTTTTAAATAATACGATCTTTTCTAATGAGATGCATGAAACATAAACTTTGTCACTTGGTATATACTGTATATAAAAAATTATGGCAGCAGGTAAATTCGGTGATAAACAAGTGTTTGAGACTAAAAATTTTGTATCAATTTTTTGTGCTACTCCTTTCCTTTAACATACCCCATCCTGCAATAAGATACTTGATCATAATGTGGGAATGGTCTGTTGGCATAATTTTCACAAAACTGAGGTGCATATTATATGCTTGGATAGCCATCCACGTAAACACAGCTAAGACAAAGTAATGTAGAGCTATTGCTGCAGCCCGACACGATGTTATTGAGGAAGTCTTGGATCTCTCAGCAGCCACAACGAACACAATCAATGTCAGACATAAGGCTATGCAGAAGTTAAGTAAGATCTGGGTTGGAGTTTTGGTTCGAAGGTCTCTAAATTGAAAAGAAAGTGAAAATTTCATAAAATATATCAATGTAACATCTGGTCAAGTTATTGGTATATATACGGCGTAATACGCTGTTGCACAACAAAATTTATGTAACAGAATAAAGGAACTTAATCCGTTCTAAACCATGTATATTTCCACAATGGGTAACGTTATACTGGTTGCACGATTTTTTACACAACGCAGTTTTCGCTATTTCAGTTGTTTGGACGGCATATACTCGTCCTTTTCACTGTTTCCTTGCGCCAGTTTGAGGCAGGATTAACAAATTAAAGAAGCAATCAATTAAGTCACAACTTACTTGAGCAATACAATTGTGATGATGGTTAGAATCAATCCAACTAATGATAGAACACAGCCAATATAACTTATTATACTCAGTGCTTTTTCATGAACTTCGTCAATACGTTCTTTTATATAAACATCCTAAAACACACACAAAAAAGTTTTCAATGGATATTTTAAAAAAGTCCTTTAGACAAAGTCAATATAAACCTGAAGTATTAAAGTTAGGCCACAAAGAAAGGTTTCTCAACCAAAGATGAAAGAAGTCCTCTACAGTTTGTCAATACGCCGATTGCTTTCTTCTTGCATGGCATTGTTTAACTTGGTGCTCATATAGTCGTTTTAGGCTGTGTTAAACTACTCCAAGAGTGACTTGAAGCATTTAACTCCAATGGCCGACGACTAGACGATTTTATTTGTTGGTGGAAGAAGTTGAAAACGAGGGATGACGTACATGCAGTAATAATAATAATAATTATTATTATTATATTTATCCACGACACCCATGCACGTCACTTCCATGTTTTTTCAGTGGGCGGTGCACACCCACGAACTAAACTCATGTACACATATATTTAAAATATATCAAGCATGCAATAACTATGTCTATATGTACGAAGTAGATTTAATTGAGTCTTAAATTGAGACAGCGAACTAACAGTAGATTGTTTCAAGCACTATTCTTCTATGCTTGCAATTTAAATATTCTTCAATTAAAAAAACATTACATGGATCTCACGAAATTAACGAATCTATAGGGTATAGAGCTCAGAAGTCTCGAGAACTTGTAAGTCGGTGTGAAATGTCACACAATTACCCATCCAGCAACTAATCTGCTGAACATGTTGCTGAATTTACTGTTATGAATGAGTTACAGGCCGTTGTTTGCAATTTACTGGGTTTATTTGCTTGTGTGTCGAACTGATTCTTTTCTGGTGTATTCTGTTTGCTTAAAGAGTCATTGTCAACCTCAATGCATCTGTTTACATCTTACCTTCGGAAGTGACAAATAGCAACAAATGACGATTATAAACATTTCTTTGGTGCAATTTTAGTAAAAAAAGTTAAAATAAGCAAGCATAACCACAGGATGGTAGTACTGTATTATGGATTGAAAACCAAAACATCTATTATCCCACCATTAAAATGGCCGCCAAGCAGGTTTGGGCACACAATACATTGTGGTTGACAATGACTCTTTAATTGCTATTTGATTATCCACTAATTGATCGCTTTTTGTCTTCCGTTTGTTTACTTGTCTCTGTTAATTGATTTCTCCTAACGTTTGTAGTACTCTTCAATGTTTATTTTGTATTTTGAGGTTTTTCGATTCCCGTATTGAAGATATATATGGCAATTCCAGCCATCCAGTATAATTTGTGTTTAATTTAATATGTCATTTAATATGATACAGAATCTTACCATTATAATTTGTATGCTTTATTCTTACCATAATTATTCTTACCGTTAAAATAGCAAAGTTTGTAAGATGAAAGCAACGACAGGTAACAATTCCATCTTTTAATCCTGTGTAAGCACAACCAGCTTGTGACCAGTCTCCTAAACCATTCCTTAACGAGAAATCCCAAAACACACACGCAGTTTTCTCGTGTATTCCATTTATTATATACATGACAAAATTACTGCAATCTGATTGGTTAAGAGGAGTGCAATTATTTCATTAATTGCACTCTCCAGCAGTGCAATTAATGATTTTTGTGATGGCTGGGGGGAGTGGGAAATCAAAACAACAAAATCCAATATGGCGGCGAAATTTAGACAAGTATTTCCATAGGCAGCCCAAAACGGCGTGTAGAATGCACCAAATGCTTCCAAATGTCAATTTATATTAAGCTCGCCCCATTCCTCTGTCATTTGTCGCGCGTCGCAAGCACTCAATTGAAAAGCAGTGTTGATATATATAGATTATACCTAAGGTTGGCAACTATATCTCAACTGACGAATATACCACTTCGGCAAAACGCAAAATACTTCGCACACGTAAATAAAACATGATAAAAAATTATACCATATTGAACTCTGATAGTTTTTCTACATACCCGCATATAAATTTTGTTTTCAAGACTGCAAGAAAGATGAAAAAGTTGCACAAACGTTTTATGGTTTGATGAAAATTTTGTTGTACCTATGCGGGATGCTACACGGCCAGAAATCTCTCAGACTTGCTGCAAGTTGCGGAATTTACCTGGCCGCCGCAAGCTGATGACAAGTTGCGTCAGCCCTGATGAAAACGTCAAGCCGCGACAGACCTGATGCTACCTGTCTGCACAGAATACTACACAGAAGTCCATCTCCATTGTTTTTAGCGTAAGCTCTATTCGTCATGATTCGTCACTCAGCAAGTACCGTAAACGGAAGCAGTCACCCCCCTGGAAATACTAAAAATGGCGTATGTTCAGGGGGGTGACTGCTTCTGTTTACGGTACTTGCTGAGTGACGAATCATGACGAATAGAGCTTACGCAAAAAACAATGGAGATGGACTTCTGTGTAGTATTCTGTGCTGTCTGTCGCAACTGGATGACCGCGGCACAGAATAGGAAGTTATACCAGAAGCGTAACTCGAGCAAGTATTTGTCCGCGTTTTTACAAGCGATTCGTCATCAATCACGCCATCCTGGCTAGTACAACCGGCACTTTGTACCTGCCAGAAATCTCTCAGACTTGCTGCAAGTTGCGGAATTTACCTGGCCGCCGCAAGCTGATGAAAATTTTCGTGGACGTCAAACAATAAGGGAAACCGCTACAGACCTGATGCTACATGTCTGTCGCAACTGGATGACCGCGGGCCAGCAGCAAGTTGATGAGCGCAGCTTGCAGCAATGCTGTTGAAAACAAGTGGCAACAGGCTTGTCGTTAACAGTTTGCAGCAAGTCTGATGAAATCAACAGGCCTATTTCGACCTGATGTGAACAGACCTGTTATGAACAATGCTGTTAACAATTTTTCAAAAACCAAACGGTAAAATAAGTCACGACAGCAATAATGACTTTTTACAGCGAAGTTTGACAACAGGAAGGGAATGAATTTCGAGGTGAATTTGCAGTTAAATTTCTTGCCTTTGTTCAGAGGATTATAAATTTCAGGTAAGGTGTATCCTTCTATATAGGCTTTCTTTATTTATTGTGTTTCTTTCTCGATTGATTTGTATTTGTTAAATTTGTGTAGAAGACAACCGGTGAACTCCGTGATCGATCATCGGACACAATCCGACCAATCTGCTGTCTGTATGGATCTTGCAGACATCGTGGGAGAGTAGAAAAGACCTTTTTAATGTTTAGCTACAATAGTTTTTGTTAGTTATAGGTAGTTTAAAGTATTTTCCTGTGTTTTCCACGTCTAGATTTTCTGGGGCCGGTTGTACGAAAGGTGGATAAGTTATGGCTTTGAACTATCAACTTGCAATAAAGGTTTTTTGTTCATGTTTATATCTGGAGTTTTTCTCGTCCAATCGTTGCAATACTTCGTTTCCCACAGTGAAGAGTTTGCTATCTACTTATCGATATTTGTTTAAAAGATTTTTGGCTTCTTTATGCGAAGGCAATAGCAAAGACTGCGAGTTTTGTTTCTTGTTTTAGTACGTCGATTCAATTTTATTTTATGTACTGTCCGAATATTTGTTCTTTGACCTTTCACTTAGGTTCAAAACAATTTTAAGAACATTTTCTCGCAAGATTTGATTGGCTGATCAAGGCCAGCGAACAATATTTTTCGACTTTCGACCCCTTGTTGTCTATTTATATGCAGCTATATTTGTTTGGTGTTGAAGGAAACTCATTGAATGAAAGTTTTATTGCTTGTTATCGAGAGCTATATAATAGAAAAAATGAAGGAAAAAGGCCAGAAAACTGAACGTCTAAGCACTGACATTGGTCTTCGTAAAATATGGAAAAGTCATGGCATTATATTTCATGGGCAAGTGACTCAAAAAAGTCAAAATGAGCTCGGTGTACGTCAAAAGCGAGACGGAAGTCATATTAAGTAAGTTTCCATGTTTATTATAGTGTCAAAAAAGGGACTTCTAAACAGGGTATATTTGTCCATTTCTATCACAATAGCAATCTCTTTTAAATGATTTAAACTACCTTCGGATAAATTTATCCAACGGATAGTGCATTTTTATCCGTTGGATAGCGCTATCCAAGCTTCGTACAACGCGATTTTCACTCCGGATAAAATTTATCCGCTGGATAGCGACTTATCCACCGGATAGCGATTCTGATCCACCATTCGTACAACCGGCCCCTGTAGTTTATATAAACAGCATTGTTTATGGCTTTGATATTGTCTATGACTATCACTATCAGCTACGAAAATACGAATTGAGAATAATTTTTAAGCGTTGAAATAGTGAAGTATATTTCATCGGTTTCAGTATATATTAGCAATGTTTTTGCCTTTATTGTAATTTCATATGTAAAATTGTATTATGATCAGTTACATATACGATAAATAAAATGTCTAAAGTACTTTGAAGCGAGTGTTTTTTGCTTTTTGAATTCTGATGTGTGAAAACACGCGGGAATAACGAGTGCATGTTTAATCGTTGGTTGTCATGTCAACTGCGGACTTGCTGCAAGTCTGTTATCATCGCCATTGCTGCAGCTCTGTCGACATCAAATTGCTGCAAGTCTGTTGTTATCGCCATTGCGACAGGTCTGTTAACGACAACTTGCAGCAAGTCTGTTGTCATCGCCATTGCGACAGGTCTGTCGACATCAAATCGCAGCAAGCCTGTTGTCGTGCTGATGCGGGCAAGTATCGTCGAGCCGCAACAAGCCGAGCGAACGCTTCTGAGATGGGGCTTGATGGCAACAATTCGCGTGCGGCCTGATGACAGACTTGCTGCAAGTTGCGCGAACTTGGCTGTGTACTAGACTATAGTCTCTCCTATGTGATTTAATATTGCCACCAATGACCATGATTGAATGAGAAAGTGAAGCCGGAAGTGTCCATTTCGTGCGATTTTTCTCTTTACTCACACTTTTAATTTGTTTCCCAACAACAGGCTTGTTGAAACTTGTTGTGACAGGACAAAAATTGTTTGTTGTGGACAGGTTTGTCGCAGGTCTGATAACAAGCTTGCTACAGACTTGACAAAAACAACTCGCGACAGGCCTGTTGGAACAAGTTGGAACAGACCTGTTGATTTCAACAGACTTGCTGCAAGTTGTTCTATCGGACCTGTTATCCCTTGTTAGTAACAGGTTTGTAGCGGGTTGTTTCAACAAGTCGCTACGGCTCTGTTGTCAACAGCTTGTGACAGACCTGTTCCCGCAAGCCTGTTACCGCCTGACGAAACCAACAGACCTGTCGCGACTTGTTGACAACTTGCCGCAAGCCGGTAAAATCAACAGCTTGCGACAGGCCTGTGAGATTTCTGGCTGTGTACCTGAAGACAACGAACTACCTGCTCTATCGTGAAATCGTCAAGTCTTGCGAAGCCTTCAGTTTAGTGGTGTTTTCTTATCCTATGATCTTACCTGTTAGGTCTATCAGCGCTTCCTACTTCGTCATCCGTGTCATCTTTGTGATAAGGATCTTTGATAATTTCTCTAGTCAAGAAAACATAAAATTTATATATTATACCAATGTCATGTTCTATAATTTTGAAGGACACTTAAAAAATGGAAAATGTTTACTTAGATCCGTTTTTTGGACAAATATTACTTTAATTTAATGAAAAACAAATTTAGCTAAGATGACATGATCTAATTTATATGAAATAACAACTGAGTAGTTTGAATTTTTGAACCTAAATTACGTAACCGCTTGCCATATGTAGCAACAAAAACGTCTCAACATGGCAAATAGTTCGGTATTAATGTAATTTAACTTTTGATTATTTATTAAAAGCTGCACCGAGTCACCTTAACACTTATTCATTTAATACATATTAACACTGAGATGCAAGAATACATAAACTTTGACACGTATATAATAAAATGTAATTGATTCTGTACTAATGGGATGTCATTTGATAAATTTTGCAGCAAAAAACAAAGGCAAACTAATATGCAGTTCATATACTGTATGTACAATACAATATTGGTCGTGGCATTGTTTTTACGAGGATTCCACCTAACCAATTCATAAGCTTTTAATATTGAACGGGGGAAGTTGAAAATTGCCATTTTCGCAAGGATAGCATTGGGCAAGCCAGGTATATCTAATTACGCGCGCGCTGTCCACGATAATTTTTGCCAGGATTGTAGTTCAAACTTAGTTGGAAATTTACTGACTGCGAGTGAAATGATCAAAATCCTGATGGTTCAAACTTACTTAAATTTCCGATTCGCTACAGTCAGGTTTCTTAGAATTCGTCTTGTATCTCGGCAAAGATCATCCACCTTATTTCTTTCCTTCTTTCTTCCTTCCATCTTTCTCCCACTCTCTGCTGAATCCCGTGTTTCGTTGTCATGTTGATCAACTTTTTTTCTTTTTTGCGGAGAGCTCCCACTGTCTGCCGAATCCTGTGTTTCATCGTCATTTTGATCAACCTTCTTTCTTTGCGGAGGGCTGTCACTATCTGCTGAATCCTGTGTTTCATCGTCATTTTGATCAACCTTCTTTCTTTGCGGAGGGCTCTCACTCTCTGTTGGATCCTGTGTTTCATCTCCCGAGCTCTCCGTGTCTGAATTACAACAGAATACAAACGATGAAAGATGATGACATTTCAATCAGCATCAACCCTCATTATCTAACCATGACGTCTGCCGCACACGAGAGCAACTTGCTGATCTAACCGCCTCGCGTGGCAGCTAGCTTAGCAAGTTTCTGTCGTGTGCGATAGTTTTCGTGAGGATTTGACCGCTTGAGGCCTTGAGGAAAATATCTACCGTGTTTATTATTTTTCACCTCGCGAGGAAAAAATGTCAACGTCTGCGGATGTTGCGAGCTCAGTGCTGAGCTGCTTGAATCATTTAGCCGATGAGAAACCATAGTTTCTTCATGTGACATTCAACAAAATGAAGGAAAATGCAAACGATTTTGTCAATTATGTTGCTGTTGAGCAGTTTTCCCAACGTGTGCGGCGAAGATGCACAGCTGAGCTAGCCACCACGCGAGGCGGTTAGACGGCGAGAGACCTTACCTTGCTTTGGCATTACTGATTTTTTCCCGCCTGCTGTGCGTGAACGTGTGCAGGTTGCTTCTTGAGACGAGGTAACAATCTCTAAAGGACAATGTCTAAATTATTCATATATTGTAATTACTCAATTCTTTTCAATGATCTATTGTATTGGTAGCCGTTGCCATCGCGTTGCCGTCCTAAAATCGTAAGGTCTCTAATATCTCTCATAATGCGCCAACTCACCCACCCTTAAAACTGAAAATAAAGAACAATGTACTGAGGATAGTATATACAGGGTTCGTAGTCTCCAAGACCAAAAATATTCAAAGACTTTCAAAGATTTTTTCTGCCTGTTGTCAAAGGCTTTTCAAAGACCTTTGAGAGCAATCAGCTGTTGAAAAATTGCGATATATAAGCACCATTTTTACCAGGTAATTAGTTCCGTCAAATAACATCCTAAAATGCATTTTTTCGTCCATACTCACTAAAGAATTTAAAGACTTTTAAAGACTTTCTTCACTTTTTCACACAATTCAAAGACTTTTCAAAGACCTTAAAGACCTGCATTCAAATTTAAAGACTTTCAAGGATTTCAAAGACCGCTACGAACCCTGATACAGTACAGTACTTCAATTAATCATTTAAATCTCTTGCTTTAAAAAGTGTGAAGATTTCTGAAGCAAACCTTATACCTTGCTTTGACATTACTGATTTTTTCCCGCCTGCTGTGCGTGAACGTGTGCAGATTGCTTCTTGAGACGAGCTAACAATCTCTAAATGTTTTTAAAAACTATTAGAGAAAGCCCCATAAAATGACGTTATATATGAATACACAACGATTGAGGTTACATACATAATAGAGACCTTACGATTTTAGGACGGCAACGCGACGCTACGGCTATTAATACAATAAATCATTGAAAAGAATTGAATAATTACAATATATGAATCATTTAGACATTGTCCATGCTCTGTTTGTAACGCAAATCACAGACTTTCACGTCTTGATACAACGACTGCATTTCAAGCCGCAAAAAGTGCAACTGCAAAATGGTTTCAGCAGAACTCTTCCCAAACATAAAACCCATGTCTTCAACTTCTAAGACTGTACTAAATTCATACGATTGATAATATACCACGAATTATCTTTGCTACTATTTATTTGAAGGAGTTTGTTCTGGCCGTCTCGTTGCCGTTCTAAAATCGTAATTTCTCTAATAATGCGCCAACTCACCCACCCTTAAAACTGAAATGATTAAAGAACAATCTACTGAGGATAGTATAAAAGTGTGAAGATTTCTGAAGCAAACCTTATACCTTGCTTTGACATTACTGATTTTTTTCCGCTTGCTGTGCGTGAACATGTGCAGATAGCTTCTTGAGACGAGCTAACAATCTCGTTACAATCATCATCAAGACTAAAGTCCAGAATTCGTCTCGTTCCATGAACTGTTTTACTGCAAATACTTCGTTTATTGCTCTTGGCTTGTAATTCAGATGTACCTTCCTCCTGTCCGTTAGCACTGTCTGACTCCATCTCAATAT